CCAAATAATAGGCTCTGGGGTTTAGGGCTTAGGGTTTAGGCTCCCTTTGAAGGGAAGTATAGGAGGAAAAAAAGAAATATATGGGGACTATATAAGGGTCCAAGGACCCAAATAATAGGGTCTCAGGGCCCAAATATGTTTGGGCCCTGAAACCCAATTATTTGGGTCCTTGGACCCTTAGGGAAATAGCAAGAACGGCGGCAACAAACCAACGGCTCACGCTCAACGAATTCAAAAGCCTTAGGAAGTCTGAGCTGCGTTGAGGGAAGCCTGGTAGGTACATCAAACCAACAAAAAAGAAACACACAGCACAAACCCGATAAGAATAGAAGCATGTCCAGACAAGAAACCTGCAGCGACACTAATGGGGTTATATTGGGGTTATATTAAGGTAATATTAGGGTTATATTGGGGTTATATTGGGGTTATATTAGGGTTGTATTGGGGTTATATTGGCAGCCACTACTCATCACTCACATTTGAAGTTCCGATCCCCTAGGCTTTGATTCTTGTACTGCTGAAAACCCTACACCTACAAACCCGGAACAATGAACACTCGAAACCCCTAAGCCCCAAACCTTATATACACATAATCCCGATCTAATCGTAATCCCGTAAAAGCCCTATCTTATGGTTCTTTTCGTGCTTGTCCAGGTGAACCCCCAAAATCCCTATCCTAAACCCTGTACAATCCACTGAGCTTGAAATTTAGGAAGTCCGGTGCGCTCCTAAACCCTGAACCCGAAATCCCAAGCCCTAAACCCTGCATAAACCCTAAGACCTTAAACACGAAAACCCCCAAACCCTAATCCCCAGATCCCAAACACTAAAACCCAAACTACCCTCAAACCTCTAAACCCAAAAACCCCTAAACCCTAAGCCGCTAATCCCCAAACCCTGAAATTGCCCAAACTCCAAGGACTCCTCCATTGCGTGCATGTCGGAGAAGAGCCTCTCTCTGAGTTTGCCCTTACGACCTGCTTCCAATTGTTTAGGGGCCCCTTTCAAGGGGTTCCAGGTTAGACTCTAGGGTTCAGGGTTAGGTTCAAGGTTTAGGGTTCAGAGTTTAGGGGCTAGATTCTAAGGGGTTATATTATTGGGATTATATAGTGGGTTTAGAATGTTTACAGTTAAGGGTATGTGAAAGGTGCACAAAATGCAGAGCAGAAGCTTTCTAGATTCAGGGTTTAGGGTAATTATGTACTCTGGAGAATCTCACTTTCCCCTCAGCGCACTCTGAATGGATACCCGTGAATCTGATGGGGAATCTCAGGCATGTGAAATCTTCTCTCTTTCCCAATAGACACTGCTAGAAAAGGTTTAAGTTCCTCCATCGGCTAAATAAGTCTTTCAAGCCTTGAAGCACAGTTGAGGGTTTCCGGAATTTTAATAGTATGCAAAAGAAGTTAGGCATCTTACGAAACACGGGTGTTAGGTGCGGAAGAAATCATAAGAGACGGTAGGATCTCACTTAGACATCATTTGGGTTCTTCCCTAGATGTAGAGCCCTACACCCTAAACTTCTCAACCCTAAACTAGCCGCCATGTTGGCTGCTTTTCATGGCAAAGCCAGTGTTGTGCGTAACTTGGAGGCTTAGCACAAACTGTCAGACTTCTAACCTTGCCAGGAGAGGGTAGGTGGGTGTGGGTTGTTCTGAAAATTATGGGCCCCTTTTTGACTATGGATTAACTTATGGCACCTAAGATTTAGGGGTACCAAAACGGGACCGTAATTTTGGGAACTACCAATGTATACCCCCCCAAACTATAAACCCTAAACCTTTAAACCCTAAACCGTTCATCCCGCCAAGTGGGACCCCAAAGGGGGTCCTACGATGATCTATTAGTACGGACCCTCCTGCAAGGTTGGGTTAAACGGTTCAGAGTTTAAGGATTTAGGGGTTTAGGATTTCAGGGGTTGAGGGTTTAGGATGCTAAGGGTTTTGGGGGTTTAGGTTTTTGGGGTTTAGGGACTTGCGGTCTAGGGTTTTGGGTTTAAGGGTCTATAGGGATCAAAAGCCAAGCCACCTTGCTCCACACCCCTCTCCAAAAGTCTCCTGCCAATGCGGCTGCTGTGCATTACGTCTGGGCAGGCTTGCCGGGTTCAGATCATATCATAAGTAAGCTATCTGATATGCTCCTAAAAAGTGTCATGGTCATAAGGAAAAGCAGCCCAATCCTGACCATTAAGTTGGAAACACGGCTGAAAACAGCGTATACCCCCGGCATCCCCCGGCCCTCCAAGCCTCCAAGGACCCTTGACGCTGAGACCCGATACGAAAACGTCAACCGACCGCTCCTGGCAACCGTCTCCCATGCTTCCTTTGTCCCGGACATGAGAGCGGGCACATGCTGCTGGAAGATGGAGAAATGGCCGAAGTTTGGTAGGCCCTTAGTCAACTATTGTGGTTGGAGGGCTTTGGGCTTTGGATTCTGAATTCCTTGCTTAGCTGTCCAGTCCTCATGAGGCCTACTAACGTCCCCCAGACTAACATGGAACCCGAAAAGGGTGCCTAAATGGACCTTTGAAAGAATGTTTTTGGGGAGTTGCAACCCTAAACCCTCAGTTCCATCCTTGTTTGGGGGAGTGTAGCCCCGTTACATGCTTCCAACACGTCTAGAACCTTAGCTAGCTGGAGACGCGCAGATGGGTTACAGGGAGGTGACCTGACAACCGAGCAAGACGTACAATTCATGGGAGTAGCATGGTAGTAATACTACGGCAGTAGTATAGCAGTATGATAATGGTATTATAGTAGCATTGTAGTACGCCGCCTTACAGTAATAGTATGGTCGGTACACTTGCCATGGCCAGCCTACCATCACATTCATGATCGAGGCCCCTGAGGACGTCCCCATTTTTTTCGTAATCTCATGCAGGTAAGCATCCACATCGGGCGAGATGTACGTGGGGATGACGTCGTAATCCGACATCCAGCCACCGCCCACCGATGCCATTGCCAGATAGCGGATGTAGCAGTGAAAATCATACCTCATGCGCTTGGGCGTTGAGGTGCTGCGTTTTGGGGCGTACCCACCATCATGGGTTCAACTAGTACCCCCCCTCTATACTACCCCCCCCCGGTTCCCCCCTTAATTAACCTTAATTAGGTTCACTATCCCTAAATAACCGTAATTTGGGTGGACCTGGGGGGGTAGTATAGAGGGGGGTACTAGTTGAACCTATGACACCAACAAACACAAAAGAATTTGAGGGTGACACATCCAACGAGGGGTACATCGGCCATGCCTGAGTTCCTTCCTCATTACCATGACATTTTACCAAAGTGATTAACAGGATTAACCCCTTTGACTTTCCGGTTGTTAGTAGGAATCCGGGAATAAAATCCCTATATAGTGCCTATATATGATATCTTCCCCTATTCCCTACTAAGCCCCAGTAATTTAAGGACAGTTGCTGTAAAGGGGACTGTCCCGAGCCAATCCTACACCCTAAACCCCTAAACCCAAAACCCTAAACCCTCAACCCCTAAACCCTCAACCCTAAACCCCAAAACCCCAAAACCCTAAACCGCAAACTCTAAACCCTAAACAGGCTCAGGGCGAGCCGGAGGCATGGCAAGGTCCTACGCAGCGGGCAAATGCCCGACCCTGGAGACCCTAAAATCATGGGTTCCCCTACTACTAGGTTTAGGGTTTAGGGGTTTAGGGTTTAAGGTCTAAAATCGTGGGTTCCCCTACCCTAGGTAGTTTCCATGTTCTTTTCTAGAGTTTGGGTTTAGGGTTTAGGGACTACCCTAGGTAGTTTCCATGTTCTTTTCCGTTATCCCCAATTCTATCTACTTAACTAGGTTGGCCCCGTAAAACCCATTGAAAAGTATTAGTATATATGGTCCCTTATTAAAGCCACTAGGGAAAACGTTAAATATCCCAGGGGTCTACCCAGATACTTACCCCCCCCCCACCAGGTTCCCCCTTGATTAAGGTTCTTTAGGGATAATTAATTTGAACAACCTGAATAAAAGGGGGGGAACCTGGAGGGATAAACAGTACCCAGACCCTCTTATGAAACTTCATTTCGAATAGTAAAGTATAATATATATATATAATGCCACCTTACTAAGAAGGCATAACACGTCCAGAAAGACTATAATTACATAGAAGCTTCCGCCTATGCCAGGGTTGAGGTTCTAGGGTTCGGGGCTGGAATGTTAAAGGCACTAGATCACTGGGTGCTTGGACTCTGCAGGCAATAGGCTCGAAACAGCAGATAATAGCCAAACTGACATAACTGTGGAGATAAGTGATTAGCCCAAAGGGTCCACGGTACCTACATCATACAAGGTAAGGCTTCTGTAGTAATGTCATGTCTTCCCTACTTGGAGCGTCAGGGGGACTTAGTAAGTGGGTTAATACTGGGGATAAGTAAGGCTACTATATGGGATATAGGGGTTATTAACCTACTTACTAAGTCCCCCTGACCCTCCGAGTAATGGTTACTAAGGACCTTTTGCCTACAACACCACATCCTTTCACTGGATTGACCCCTAACCCTACAAACCCTAAACCCCAACCCTCGAACTCTTAAACCCAGTCCGAGGTCTCCAGCAGCCTTTTAGAACCTAGAACTTCTCCCTGTCTGCGGCTTATTGCCTGATTATAAATTGTATTCTTCCTTCCTAGCCATAAACCCAGAAGTTCTGACCTTCAAGTCCTATGAGCCCTGTACCAGCTCAATGTGCAACCCTAGACCCCCAAGCCCTTAACCATAAACCCTAAACACTATAAGTTTCAGGAGCCTATACAATGATTCCCTAGGCCCTAGATGAAACCTTGAATCTGAAGGTCTTTTTGGGGTGGGGTCAAGGTTGAAATCTTGAACTCGAGATGCTCGTAGCCGAGTCCCAGCGGAACCTGAAACTTTGAACATGCGCGGTTTAGGGTTTAGGGTTTAGGGGCCCATAGGGGAAGCACACGCCGCGGGAAGCCCATGGCTTGAACTTCCTGATCCTTACAAGTACCCGCGACATGTGTCTCCAAGCCTCACCTATGCTTACTGCTGTCCCTAAAACCCTAAACCCTAAAACCTACACCCTGACCCTAAGCCCTAATCCTTAAACCCTAAAACCTAAACCCGAAATGCAGATCATCGGTTATTCGGACCCCTTGGCTCCTTTCACCGCATCGATCATACTCTTGATTGAGAAGCAATGAACCCACTGTCACCAACGTGAGCTCGTATGAGCTCGAAGAATAGAATTACGATCTCAAATCAATAATTAGAACGGTAAGTTGAAAGAATGAGTTGTGAAATTCTGCCTGACGGAACACCCTACGTACTTCCTGATCATCAAAATGTAAACGCCAGATGTAGACTGTCAAAATGAAAGCCCCATATATATCATGTAAAAACTGTTCTGCATACAGATAGTAGGGTCCCCATCAAGCACCAAGATGCGATCTTTGCAAGGACTGGGAGGGCCCGTTTTGGACGGGTCGCAGGTTTTGCGATGCTAAATCACAAATCCAACAGTGCCAAACATTTAAAGGGGGGGACCCAAAGGTGATTCTTGGGAACCCCTGTACTGATTACACAGGGATAGCTTTGCGAAACTCCTGCATCCCGAAGACCTAGCCACTTTAGGACCCCTCTTGAAGTTCTAGTCCCTCTTAAGTAGATAGAATATGGCTTTGGGTATATTATAGTAAGATCCCCATATAGCCCGTATTCTGTCTAATTACTTAAGGGGGGACTGGAAACTTTCAACTACCAGGAAACCCAAGAGCTAACTTCCCAAAAGAGGCCGGCTAAAGAAAGCCAAGAAAGCGCCGTGCCTTTGTCCAGACTGTCTCGTTGAACTCCTCGAAGCCAGTTGCCCGCTGCGCGTCGCTGAGGTTCAGCACGCGCGTCACCCTCAAGCGCAAACCCAAAAGCCAAAGTACACGTACTACTCTAGCAAGCACAAATGTGTTGCAAGTGTAAGTACCAAGCTTTGAATTGTAAATCTTGGGCTTTAGGGTTTAGGATTTAGGATGCAAAAGGACCAATTTGGAGGTTGAGGTTGAAAGCGCGTCCGCAAAATGAATTAACCCTCCCCCCTTCGTAGACTATCCCCTACGACTCAAGCCCTATACCGCCTTTTTGAATTGGGCGAAAAAGCAGCGTCATCTCAGCTGAAGGGAGTGGCTGAGTTGCCTGGGGGCCTCTTTTGAAAAGCATTCATGAACCCCCTCCCCATACTAATTCCACCCCACCCCATATATCGACATCAAATATGAGAGGTGTTTGCCGGGAGGGGTTGGTGTTGGGGGAGGTAGGTCTTGCTGCAGCGATAGAAACAACTTGAGTTTTCTCAGCCCATACTACTTCAGGGCGGCTAGCGAGTAGATCCTAAAACAACTGCATATGGCCCCCTGTAATAATACCTATACTACCTTCCCCACTCTCCCACCACTCTCCCATTCTGCGAAGTGCAGCCCTTCTGGAGCCAAACCTCATATCATGTAAATGTCGGAACAAGATACCTGCCTGAGAAAGAAGTACGACTGCTGTGAGAACTATCTACTCCCACTCGCATCTCTTCACGAGGTACCGTTATTTTCTGCAATCAACTCCCGCTCCTTCAAACCCCAAACATTTGCTACAAGCTACACTCCTCCACCTTGCTTAAATGCATCATACTGTCTGAACCCCCCGCAAGCACGATACCTTGAAGCCCTGAACCCTATAAACCCTCCAAGTTCTACAAGGCCTATGAACCCAGTAAACCCCCCCAAACCCCAAACGCTAAACCCCTCGCACCCCAAACCAAGAGCGGGCGAGGAGCCATCCGGCACGCTCCCAAGCAGAGCGCCATGCTTCGAGCCTCGAAATCTCAGGTTTGTTGTCTTGGATTTCCAGCAAAAATCCCCTAACAACCAATGTTTTCCCCAAAGTAGGTACTACTCCTAGACTTTAGGGCCCAAGTGGGTACATTCATGGACCTTATTATGGCCCGAGTCGCATAGACTGTAGGGCACAGAGCAAGTCTTATTTGTAGACTTTAGGGCACGAAGCAAGTTTGCTTTATAGACTTTATAAATAGTGCCACAAGAAGCTGTCACCTAAACCCTAAGCAACCCTAAATCTTAAAATTGTTACCTTAACAGTTGAAATTAAACTTTGAAACTAGTTGACCTAAACCATAGCCTTTTACTACTTGTAGACTTGAAGGCAAGGTAGGCATTGGTTGTAGACTTGGATCAGCAGGATTTTGGGTGTGTAAGGCTTAGAGTGTAGAGATCACCAGTTTTTTTGTTGGGGGTGGTTAGGGTTTAGGGCTCACCAGGGTTTATGCGGGTTTAGGGTTTAGAGCTTAAGGATCACCAGGGTTTTGGGGGGGTTAGGGTGTAGAGTTTAGGGTTCACCAGGGTTTGGGGGGTTGTGGGTTTAGAGTTTAGGGATCACCAGGTTTTGGCGTGTTTAGGGATTTCGAGCTTAGGGATCACGAGGGTTTAGAGCTTAGGGATCACCAAGGTTTTTTGGGGGTTTAGGGTTTAGAGTTTGGGGCTTCGGGATCACCAGTATTTTTGGTGTTTAGAGTCGAGGGATCAGCAGGCTTTTAGGGGGTTTAGGCTAGGGTGCAGAGTTTAGGGATCTGGGATCACCACAGTTTTTGGGGTGTGACAACGACGGCTTAGGTGTTTTCGGGTTCCTGATGCAGGGTGATGAGGGCTTCTGGTGTTTGAGGGTTTAGACTTCAGGGTGCCTAGGACTGCTTCAACGCATCTCTGTTAGGTGGACCCCCCCCGAGTGAAAGTCTATAAGGGATAATTCGGGATAATGGTGATTATACTAGGATCCTCTTACATTCCTATTATGCCCCTATTGCAGGGTGGGGGTGTTTCAAGAGTCTATGCTTGAAGGGATCTAGGGTTCAGGCTGAGGTTTGGGATGTCCAGGGCATAATCTGGAACTCAAATTGAAGTGACGACCTATCAAAATGACAAGTTAGAGAGTGGGAGGCTTACCGCAGCCGCAGACCCTGTG